TCGCAGTTGAAACTCTCCAACAATGTAAAAATCTCTAATTACTCTTTGATGAAAAACGAAGGTTCCGAAATCACGTCGCTCTTATCGTTAAAAACTGCTATTAAGCATTAAGACTCCTTCCTGTATGCCAACAAAAACATTTTGACCACGTTTTCCAAGAAAATTTTGTGTGAACGGTTAGTTATTTCCAAAATTCTGTATTACATGCCATTATACTATCCGTGATCCCTGCCTAGACCAATACACAGCCAAACGTTTACAGAAAATCAAAAATTACTGTTGTCGTCTGATAAACAATCTAACAAGATCACAAGATATGATCATACATCAGGCCACTTATTAAAATATCTATTGCTTACAATTGTAGATAAAACAATGTCCAATGAGAAACTTTTACATAACATTCATTCCTCGTCATAATATGATCCACTGCAACAGAATTATTCGTTTTCTAGATTATTCAGTATTCCTCAACAAGACTTCTATAGTCACAAGATCTTTCACATTTAATACAATCTTCTTATACAATTTGAAGGTGTAATATTCTGCATGAGTAATTTTCTAGTATTGAACTTTTACAATGCTTTATTTCAAAATTTTTGGTGAATATGTATATACATATACACATATGTATATAACTTTTCAGTAAACAATGTCACACAAGGGTTAACTGGAAGAGTAGCCGAGGCTGAACTTCGACCATCCGTAATATATCGTTATAAATAAAGCCGTTTATTATTATTATTGTTATTATTATTCCTGTTTTCTCACAGCCATGTTATATACTGTGGTGAATTTGGTGAAAACACCGAGCGCACTATATACTAGATTACTCTTTTCACTATATGGGCGGTGCTCAACACAACTTTTATTATTTTATATAATGTGCATGCATACATGCTTATCAATTTCCAACCTATCGAATAAAAAAGGTAAATTTGTCTTTTAGAGAATATCTATCCTACATGCAATTTGAGCACTGAATTTGCAATCAAGCGTACCTCTTGAGCGGCAAAGCAACACTTTGCGCTCTTAATACACAAATAACTATTTTAGCTTTATTCGTAAGGTAATATGAATGGTCGGGGATTAAAATGAAAAGCTGTCGTGTCTGAAAAGGCTACCGTCGGTAATGCTTCTTTGAACACGCAGCATTTCTGAAATGCATTTTATAATATGCCGTGGCATGACAAATTATGGTGGTTCAAAATATGAAGATACCTTGAGGTTTGGTACCTACGAGAATCCAAAATACTTCGAAGAATTAATAATCGCCATTGTTAGATTTGAATAGCGCGTGTTTGTAAGATCTGGAGTTACGTAATTGATTTCGACATCACGATGTATTTATGCGTTATGTAATTAGAACAAATCCAGGAAATCCATTGTTTTCATTTATAAACTGTCATCTAGAATGTACTCGCTAAAAAATATTCATTTCGACCATGGATGTATCTACTCATCAAAACTTCATCATCAAATTGAAGTTGCCTTTAGATCATTTTCTAAAAGACTAAACGTGACGAAATCAACAACACTCTTATGACTTAAATAATTAACAATTGCTTGTGTTACTTCAGTACAGTAACTGGCAATACTTCATGAAATCTTGGGACAACCTCCAAGTGTCAAGTTTCGTTTTTAGTTCATACTTAGACATACAGCTTTGTCGATCACAAATATCGCATACGTAAACGTTATTGTAAACCTCATTTTTCATTTACCCTTACAACTACAGGCCTATAGCTCTGCTTTCTGTTATAAGTAAAGTGATGGAGAGGTGCATAAATCGCGAGCTTCTGGACTACCTCGAACGTCACAGCTTGATTAGCGACAGGCAGTACGGTTTCCGGCACCAACGATCCACAGGGGACCTCCTAGCTTACGTCACGCAACTGTGGAGTAAACTCATCCAGTCTCATGGTGAGGCTCATGTCGTTGCTCTTGACATCACGAAAGCGTTCGATCAGCTGTGGCACGCTGCCCTCTTAAGCAAACTTCCATCCTATGGCCTCCCAGAAAAGCTTTGCAGATGGGTGGCTGACTTTATCTCTGGCCGCAAGATATCCGTCGTAATTGACGGATTCTCCTCTTCATCCCACAACGTCAACGCGGGTGTTCCCCAGGGATCGGTCTTGGCTCCAACACTGTTTCTCTTACATATCAACGACCTCCTTTCCTGCACGATCAACCCAATCCACAGCTTCGCTGATGACAGCACTCTACATGCAGGAATTCAGAGTGACAAGCCGATCTCTGCCGCTGAGCTGGAAAAAAGAAGACTAGCGACGACTTCTTCTCTGACAAGAGACCTGGAGGTTATCACTGCTTGGGGACGCAACAATCTTGTACAGTTCAATGCTTCCAAAACACAGTACTGTACTTTGACGAACAAAAAGCGTCCTAGCGCTCATACAGTTTCGATGGACGGTCGAGTTCTACCAAAGAGCCATTCATTTCGGCTGGTCGGAGTCCAGATCACCGAGGACCTGATCTGGCACGAACACATCTCTTCAATAGCTGCAGCTGCTGGGAAAAAGCTAGGCTATTTGTTTAGGGCTAAGAAGTACTTTTCTCCGCATGACATTCTCACTCTATACAAGGCCCAGATAAGGCCTAGCCTCGAGTATTGCTCACACATTTGGGGTGCTGCCGCCCCGACTACATTGTCCATGCTCGATGCTGTCCAGAGGAGGGCGGTCCGACTGATCGACGACTCTTCTCTGACAGACATTCTCGGGACTCTTTCGCACCGGCGGGCCGTCGGCGATCTGGCTCTTTTCTATCGCTACACCAACGGGCTTTGCTCCTCAGAGCTCTCTTCCATGATGCCGCCGCGCGATGTGCCTGCCAGACAGACCCGCCTGACTTCGGCGTCCCATCCTAACCGTGTCAAACTTCGTACATCCAGGACTGGCCGATACGACCGCTCCTTTGTCCCGAGGGTGTCTAGATTGTGGAACAATCTACGGGAGGAGGCTTTTCCCAGTTCTACTAACCTTGGGCAGTTCAAGGGTCGTATTAATAAAATTTCTTTGGGATCGTCATAGCAGCCGCGGTGTTCCGGCATTTAGGCTTCTGCCTGCGCGGCTGTTTCGATATAAAAAAAAAAAAAATTAAATGTTACATAAGGCGAACGTTAGTGTTTATGTATACGATATTTGTCTTTAACAGAACTGTCGATCATGTTACTTTCTTCTTTCAGTTCTGCACGCTTAAATACTTCGTGAAGTATGAATATTAGACCGTAGAAACAAAAATATGGAGATAATGTTGTGTTGCTGCTATTATATCTTGGCTTATTATAGTTTCTTTGTTTTCAGAGCATTAATACATGTTATTGATAAAATATTCTTCCATTTCACAACTTTATCTGCTGTCACTCAAATTTTGTTCGGCATTCTTGTCGATATTTTCTGATCTATGGTGGTACTCCTTGTTTTAATAATCTTTGTTTTTTCTTTTTATGTAACTAATGCTTGGATGTGTATGTTTTTATTATAAACAACATATTTTTGGCAATAGCTTCACTTCTACTATATCTAACAGTTATGTTATTACTTTCTGTTCGGTATTTTCCTCACCATTTGTCAAGCTTCGATGTTTATTCTGGTTGTGCTTTTGATAACATCGTTGTTCGGTTTTAATTGTTTAGCACTATTGCTTTAAATACATTTTGTTAACCTCATTTTTCATTTACCTTATTAAATGTCACATAAGGCAAACGTTAATATTTATGTATACGATATTTGTCTTTAACAGAACTGTCGATTATGTTTACTTTCTTCTTTCAGTTCTGCACGCTTAAATACTTCGTGAAGTATGAATATTAGACCGTAGAAACAAAAATATGGAGATAATGTATTGCTGCTATTATATCTTGGCTTATTATAGTTTCTTTGTTTTCAGAGTATTAATACATGTTATTGATAAAATATTCTTCCATTTCACAACTTTATCTGCTGTCACTCAAATTTTGTTCGGCATTCTTGTCGATATTTTCTGATCTATGGTGGTAGTCCATGTTTTAATAATCTTTGTTTTTTCTTTTTATGTAACCAATGCTTGGATGTGTATGTTTTTATTATAAACAACATATTTTTGGCAATAGCTTCACTTCTACTATATCTAACAGTTATGTTATTACTTTCTGTTCGGAATTTTCCTCACCATTTGTCAAGCTTCGATGTTTATTCTGGTTGTGCTTTTGATAACATCGTTGTTCGGTTTTAATTGTTTAGCACTATCGCTTTAAATACAAACACAATCAATTTTAGAGTAAAAACAAGCTATAACAATCCCGTTTTCAAATTTTTGGAAACAATAGGTGTTGGTGACCTATTTAATGACCCGTCTTTACTTCTTTGATATCGGTGATAATTATTTGGAATAAAAAACTAGTCGAAAACATATGTAAGGTAACATGAGTTTTATAGCAATAAGGGGTTATTTTAATAACTTGACTCTAAAATTATACATTTGTTTGAGGTACTTGATAACATCATGTCGAAGTATATCAGAAAACATACATATATATAAAATATAACATTTTATTAAGCTGCAATAGTGAAATGTTTCGATAAATATTATGCAAATAAAGCCAAAAAAATTGATTCAGCTTAGGAATGACTATAATAAGTCAGATATTTTTGTGATTGAAAGAGCCACTATTGACCGAGGTACCCTAGAAGGCATGTATCAGAAATCTAGCTGCCCAAACTGTTTATAGTAGATTCCACACACCTACCTAGGGAATAGGAATGCAATAGAAGAATTGGAACTAATACCATTACTCAAAATCACAGAAATTGACTGTGTCATGCTGTAATACCCAAAGGGATATACCTGGATATCATTAATCATAAATTTGGATATAAAGTAAAATTTTTTGACACAGCTCACAATTAATATTTCATAGTGGGCCTATTGTTATCCCTTAATGATCCTGGAGGTAGAAATAGAAAAGTAAGTCCAAAGCTGGCAGCTTTGCTGCGGCGTACCTTGAAAACGGGGCCGATAATCCTCAAAATGGCACACAAAACACAGTAAATACTAGTTTTTCACTGAACAAATATGAGATAATCACACACACTGCTCACAAAACCATTTTTTCAAACGCGACAAGCGCACAGAACACGTAGTTCTCGGCTCGACCGAACATCAACAACTGTGTGATCTGAAAAGAGCAAAGCCAATCAGAATAAAGGCAAAGAGTAACGCCAGCTAATATGGCCGCCACACAGACAATGGGGGCCAGAGAAAGGGAGCTAGTCTGCCATGTTGAAGGGGGATACAGCTATACCATTCCTCTACCCCTCGATATGATATCACGACATTGCACTTTTTGTAACCAGCCTTAACCTTTGCTTTGGTTCTTGATACACCGTGACCAGACACTTTTTTATGGATTTTCAGTAACCTCTGGTGGAGCAGAAGCTCCTGATCGAATGTTTTGAAAAACAAAAGATACTCTTGCTGTTTATAGAACAAACATTTCAAAATAGAAAAGTATGAATGAAAATGTGATGAGGCAAAACTAAGAACACAATGTATGGACTGTCAGTAACTTCGGGTTAACCGAAAGCTTTCGATCGGATCCTCTAAAAAGCGACACTTTTGCTGTTTATAGAACATATATTTGAAAATCCAAAACTATGAATGAAAATGTGATGCGTAAAGATTAAAAACAAAACCAGACCTTTTTTTCATGGATTTTCAGTCGCTTCAGGTGAAACGGAAGCTTTAGATCGTATTTTTTGATAAACATACGGCACTCTTGCTGTTTATAAGTATGAATGGATATCTGCTGCAGTAAGATTAAAAACAAAAACAGACCTTGTTTGGATTTTCAGTAACTTTGAGCTAAACGGAAGCTTTAGATCGAATGCTTTGAAAAACATACGACACTCTTGCTGTTTATAGAACAAATATTTGAAAATCCAAAAGTATGAATTAAAATGTGATGAGAAGATTAAAAACAAAACCAGACATTTTTTTCATGGATTTTCAGCCAGTCCAGGCGAAACGAAAGCTTTCAATCGAATTTTTTTAATTACAGGCGGTACTCCAGCTATTTATAGAACAAATAATTCAAAATCCTGAAGTACAAATATGAATGAAAATGTAATGAGGTGAAGCTAAAAACAAAAACAGACTTTGTATGGATTTTCAGTAATTTTAGGTTAAACGGAAGCTTTAGATCGAATCCTGTTTATAGAGAAATATTATAAAATCCCAAAGTATGAATGAAAATGTGATGAGGTAAGATTAGAGACAAAAGCAGACCTTTTTTCATGGATTTTCAGTCACTTCAGGTGAAATGGGAAGCTTTAGATCGATTTTTTTCATAAACAGGCTCTTGCTATTTATATGGGGTTGTCCAAAACAGACGCAGGAAAGTAAACGCATATTAAAACAAGAAAGATTGATAGTCAAATCAAGTTGGGTACTTTATTTTGAAGGCTCATTTATACCATTTATGTATGAAAAATAATATCGCTCAAATGTTCACCACGACTGGATTTACAGACGTCCACGCGATGGTCGAAATTTTCAATGACATTTTGCAACATGGTCGGTTCTATGGCATTTATCTCGGCAATGATGTTGTTTTTGAGTTCTTGGAGGGTGGCTGGTTTGTTGACGTAGACTTTGCTTTTCAAATATCCCCATAAAAAGAAGTCCAAGGGAGTCAAATCGCACGATCTTGGTGGCCATGGCACATTTCCTCTGCACGAAATCACGCGATCACCGACGAAGGACTGCAATCGATGGATATTGACGTTGGTTGTGTGGCATGTTGCATCGTCTTGTTGGAAATAAACATCGTCCATATCCATTCCTTCAAGTTGCGGCAAAAAATAGTCCTCTATCATCACGTGATATCGCTCAGAATTGACGGTAACGGCGTCCCCGGCCGCATTTTCGAAAAAGTAAGGTCCGATTATGCCTTTTGACCACAATGCACACCACACAGTCACTTTTTGAGGATGCATCGGCTGCTCTTGATACTCACGGGGATTTTCGTTCGCCCAGATGCGGCAGTTTTGCTTATTTACCGTCCCATTCAAAGTGAAATGCGCTTCGTCGCTGAACATGATTTTTGATGAAAAATTGGCATCAATTTGGCGCGACGTTCGGCGCGAAAAATGGTCGGCCCGACGCAGCTCTTGCGTCAATTGGATCTTGTAGGCGTGTACATTCAAATCCTTGTGGAGAATGCGGAGCAAACTGGTTCTCGAAATGCCCAATTCTTGGGATCGACGCGTTGTTGATTGTTTCGGATCGTCTCTCACACTCTCCTTCACAACAGCAATATTTTCCGGTGTGCGAACGCTCCTTGGCCGGCCAGAGCCTGGCAGATTTGCCACAGAAACTGTTGCCTCGAATTTACGCACCAGACGACCGATGGTTGTTTCGTTTGGGCGGTTGTTGCGACCGAAATGTTCACGAAGCGCGCGGAACGTGTTTTTTATTTTTGCACCATTTTTGTAGTGCTCTTGAATAACTTTGATGCGGTCTTCAATCGAATACGACTCCATAGCGATCAATGGTAAACATTCAACTAACAAAATGACATGTCGGTGACAGAAAACAAAGATGGCGTCTATGTCAAATTGACGTTTACTTTCCTGCGTCCCTATTGGACAACCCTTTAGAACGAATATTGGAAAATCTAATAGTATGAAACAAAATGTGATGAGGAAAGATTAAAAACAAAACCAGACCCTTTTTTCATGGATTTCAAGTCACTCAGGTGGTACGGAAGCTTTCGGTCGAATTTTGCTCTTGCTGTTTATAGAACAAACATTTGAATGAGAATCTGATGAGGTAAGACTAAAAAGAAAACCAGACCGTTTTTCAAGAAGTTTAGGCTACTTCAGGTGAACCGGAAGCTTTCGATCGACATTTTGAGGTAATGACTAAAAAGAAGACTAGACATTTTTTATGGATTTTCAGGAACATCAGATGAAAATGACAGTTTTATAATATGATGATTAAAAAACCAGCCGGTAATCGGGTGTTTTTTTCAAAAAATAAAAACTGAAATATAAAAAAAGATATGTTATTAAATGTCCTGATGTTTAAATTGGAATAAAGAAAACATAACAAACTCCATCCCAAAACCTAGTATGAAAATGCTTCAGATGAAACATAAGCTTTCGATCCGATTAATTGCAAACCAGAGGGTAGTCGTGAGTGTTTCATGTTCAAAGGTAGTATTAAGAAAACACCAAACTTTTTTGTCGAAAAAAAAAACAGATGAATTTGAAAACCCAAAAATTCGAATGAACATCTTATGAGGTACAAAATACTTTTATGATTACTTTTAATCGAATGTTCCGAAAACTACTCTTGCGCCTTTTCAATAAATAAGTGCTCAAATACACAAAGAGTCAAACCACATATATACTAAGTGACATATAAATCCGAACACCCAGTTTAAATGGTTTTATTTTAATAAAAGTTGGTGAATGTATTTATCTTACTGTAAACAACAAGTGAAAAAATTTTCAGCCTTATCAGTTGGACATTCCGGTTTTTATACTGCTTTTTTTTTAATTCACTAACGCTCTAAAAATGAATATTTCAGCCGCAGTAAAGAATCAAAGTTGGCGGATTTTGGTTCTTGACATCCTTTACGATCGGTTACGATGCCTAGAGTACGGAGACCTGTACGATTTCGTCAACTTAGTGAGTTTGATAGGGGCCGTATAGTGGGACTTCGGGAAGCTGGACTTTCTTTTCGGGCAATTGCAGTTAGAGTGCAAAGAAGTGTAGACACTGTGGTTAGGTGTTGTCAGGCATGGCTTCGAGAAGGCCGTACGCAAAGAGCAAGGGGCACTGGACGCCACCGTAGAATAACAGACCGTGAAGATCGCCGCCTAAGATTATTGGCCTTAAGGGACCGTTTCTCCACTATCAGGTCCATTGCAAATGAATGGTTTGCAGAACACGGAAGACCTATTGGCATGCGAAGTGTTTACCGACGAATGATAAGTTTTGGATTGTTTTCATACCGGCCACACTGGGTCCTCCCTTTAACTCGAGAACACCGACGTAATCGCCTTGAGTGGTGCAGACAACGGTCACTCTGGGATCAGGAATGGAACAGTATTGTCTTTAGTGACGAGTCTCGATTTTGTTTAGGCATGCACGCTGGTCGTGCCAGGGTTAGAAGGCGACGTGGTGAAAGGAGGAATCCACAGTTTTTTGTTGAAAAACATGTTCATCACACTGTTGAGGTTATGGTTTGGGGTGCTATAGCTTATGGTTCCAGGTCACCTTTAATCTTCATCAGAGGTAACATGAACGCGCAGCGTTATATCCACGAAGTTCTACAACCCCATCTTTTACCCTATCTTGACACCCTGGCAGATCCAACTTTCCAACAAGATAATGCCCGACCACATGTTGCAAGAGTCACAATAGACTTCTTTCAACATAATGATGTCACATTGTTACCATGGCCACCAAGATTCCCCGACTTATCCCCAATTGAGCACGTGTGGGATATGATGGGTAGGAGATTGCTCAATTTGCAACGTCCTCTTCAGACTCTAGAAGCACTTCGAGAGGAGTTGATGGTTGCCTGGAATGACATACCACAGGAGGACATTGACCACCTGATCAGAAGCATGCCTAGGCGCGTTGGAGAATGCGTAGCATATCAGGGTGCATCCACACATTATTAAAGGTCAAAGGGCTTTAAAGCAGTGCAATCATTTTGAAATTGTTATCATTTACTTATTATGCTTCACTAAGTACTTATACAAAATTTTATTCAAATAAGACCATTTAAACTGGGTGTTCGGATTTATATGTCACTTAGTATATTTTTAAAATTCCCCTTTATTGAACGGCGTTTCAGAGCCGACGGTGACCTTTTCTCAAATACAAATGGACACTTTTGACAATATATTTTGTTTATCTGTCTTCCAGGTGACACAGTTTTTTCCGCATTCATTTCTTTTTTCAGAAAATATTGCTATCCGGGGAATAAAACAGTGAAAACTCCATGATCTACATAAAAATGTTTTGAGATGAAACCAAAAACAAATCTGTCAAGAAATAGCTAGAAATTTTTATTTCTGAAATCGTATTTGTTTGAGAAAATACTGGAACAATTTTGACAGACAAGAGTAACTCGCTCT